ACTGAAGGAGGCTCCACAGGCGGGAAGTGCGAGAAAAGAAACTGTAGGAGTAGAAGTCGCAGTTGCATTTAGCTATTTCAACAGCATAAGGATGGGACCTAGATGACTATCTACTAGCACGCTTAAATTCATCCAATCTGGGCACCAATGAAAAAAGCTCGTCAAAGCAAATGTCATGAAAATATCGACTAATATTCAATAAATATTATTCTTATTATCAATATTATTATTTTAGTCGATTTTTATCACTCGACTTTTTTTCACTGGTTTACTATATATATATATATATATATATATATGTGTCTGTGTGCGTGTGTGTGTGTGTGTATTATAAGAAGCAAAATGGACAATCGTTCTTTACAATATATATATATATATATATATATATATATATATATATATATATATATATATAATTTTTACATACGGACAAAAACAACTTGCTCACTACAATGATGCATTCTTGGTTTGATGTGATCAGCATCTCGACTCGTGAGAACCAAACATGCTTGGTTCTCACAAGTAGAGATGCAGTTGCATATATATGATTAGACAGAGCTAAGAATATATATATATATATATATATATATATATATATATATATATATATATATATGATTAGACAGAGCTAAGAAATATATATTAATGAATACACATATACCAACGTTTCTTGTACGACTCGAGTCTCGTTTTTTTTTTTTCTTTTCTAAATAAACAGTAATATACATACATACATATATATATATATATATATATATATATATATATATATATATATAATATAATAGACAGTAAATTATATCTTGTGCCCGACGAGTTGGGTAACCAACGAAACTTAAGTTGCCCACCAAACGTAGGTATATGTGAATTTTTATCTGACATATTAATCTCGATTCCAATTCCAGATTGTAGATTCCAACACTCAGAGGTAACAGGCTGTTTCATGCTGGACGCAATATTTACCTGGCGTCTCTAGCAAGGGTGGATGTGACACACGATCGTTTTAACGTGGGTAGCGCCAAACGTATACATAGGGGCCAAGGCCAATTTTTTCTCAGACCCCCGCGACCACTGTCACGCTGGCATCGGTATTACATAGATCCAAACCTCTTTAGTGCAACGAGGAAGATGCTGCCACAGGATTGAAATCTCCGGGGCTAAGCAATATCTCCCATCTAAAATGATGAGAAACATAGCAGCATTTACATCTCAGGGGGCAATAACTATGCCTCAGTAAAGCTTTATTTGGCAATGGTTAACTCCTGTGCCAGGTAGATATTTATTTTTCAGCGCGCCAACGTCACTATCGGATGTGACACAAGGTCGGGATTTAAACAGGGCTTAACGCTAATACCGTGGAAAAATTGTCCACGATCCCTCGATAATTCCCCTTCCGGGGACGCCTCAGGCACCGGGCTATAAACCCTGCGCCCTCCCGAAGGAGAGGTACTGTCTCTAGGGAAGGTCCCCTGCGGATTGGGCTTAATATTCTTATCCCTGCATATAGCAGGTAAGCAGTGTCAGGAAAAGTTAAGCCAACTTGTAGAAGAACTTATTACAGTTTGGCTTGACTCGAACGATAATCATATGATGGAACTTGAGTCGCGAATAAAATATTTTTTATTTTTATTTTTATTATTTAATTCGTTTATATATATACATATAAATCAGAGAGAGAGAGAGAGAGTGTGTGTGTGTGTGTGTGTGTGTGTGCGTGTGTGTGTGAGTGTGTGTGTGCGTGTGCAATAAAATCAAGAGAGATGAGGACAGGCGGTACAAGCTAAGCAGATAGATAGATAGATAGATAAAAAAAAATGATCAGACAATAATAGATGATAGATAAAAAAATAGATAGATAGATAGATAAAAAAATGATCAGACAATAATAGATAGATAAAAAAAAATGAGCAGACAATGATAGATAGATAGATAGATAGATAGATAGATAGATGATCAGACAATAATATAGATAGATAGACAAACTTATCGCCAGAATTATATACACGGCGATAAAGAATGGAACGTTGGTTTTCTAGGTAAATAGGAATATACTGAGTTTGCTTGTCTCAGTAAGAAATCATCGTAGGTTCGCGTGTGATCGCTACGTGGATCTTCGTTTTCTTGTCTTCGAGAGGTGTGGGAAATTATTTCTCTATATATATATATATATATATATATATATATATATATATATATAAAGATATATAATTTTGTATAATTTTTATATCAACACACAGTATTTAGAAAACTATTATAACAAATTCGAAAAAGTTTTTTGTGAAATATATTCTTTCAAATAAAAAAAAAATTCTTTCAAAAATTTTGAAACTACCAGTGTCTCTCGTTTCGTGCGCGCGTGTAGACATGGTAACATCAACAGTACGATGAACACTCAGTCCGATGAAATCCTTACATATGAAATGCGCCACAAAAACATTTTCCAATTTCTCATACTATTTTTCTAAATACTGTTTGTTGATATATATATATATATATATATATATATATATATATATGATAAAATATAGTTTTATGTCATGCTATATTTAATGGGAAAGAACGTATGTAAATATTAAAGTGGACATTGAAGTCAAGTCAGAGGGGGCAGCTTCCTTCATACTTAAACACAATCGTCAGGCCTGACGATTGTCTTTAAGCATGACAGTAAATGCTATCTATTCATAAATCACGCCATTTTTTATGAGCATTATGTAAATAATAATAATAATATACTACACTGTTTTGACATTTAGATAAACGTTCATATTGGTGTTACGCGGAAATAAGACCTTGCTCGAGAACAGACGAATCTGTAAAATAAGGAAGTGATGATCATAAACAATATATCTGACAAACTGTGAACTGTCCCCAAAAGCCCAAAGTACTAGAGGAAATGGATTTCTGAAGATAATACTGTAAATTTAAAACGATTCAATCCCCCAGCAACAAGCGCTATATATCACTGGGATATAAAAAAAATAAATGATCCGAATATGAAGTATAACATAAATTCGTATTATTACATCAATATTTTCTCGGTTAAGATCATAATATCTGGTGATTACTGCATGAATAGAAGGTCTCACCCGGCAGCTTTAGGTATCATGCAATTTTCCTCTGAATTTAAGTGTTCATCACTTACTGGATTATTCTTGTCGTTCCCAAGAAGTTTCATTTCTGTAACAAGTCCAGTTGGTCATTAGCTATATTTATCCATTATCCATTTATGTTTCCATTCTCTCAGTCACCGTACTAATTGTATCAATGCTAACTGGTATGTTTGTGACCTTTCAAGTCTTGCGAGTTCAAATTGGGGCCACAATTGTTGTATGTTACCTCAATAAATCTCGAATTCAAATTTCAATGCGTCGTAATTGATTCCTTTCTCTTCTTCCTTTTGCTCTATCGCTTGAATCAAAATGGAGACGATGGACCAAAGATTCAACCTTCTTTTTTTTCCTATTTTAGCTTCCACCAATATGACTGGTTTGTTTTGCTTCCTGATTCTTGTCTGTTTGTTGCTGAAAAATTCCCACAAAATCTTTGCATGTTTTTCAGTCAGGGAATTGAATGACAATATGTTGTTAACCCTAGAACACTAATCATCAATTAAAGTTAAAATAGAAAGAACAGTAGAGAGGAAAACTGGATGAGGAGGTCACAACATCAAGATGGATCATCATTTCAACTTACAGCTTAATATATTCTTATTGTTCAAAGTAGAGTCTAACAGTGTTATAAAAACCTCAGAAACTTCCAGTATGATATCTTTAATCATTTCTAAGGTACAACGGTTCAAAGTTTAATGTGCAATTGGACAATTTTGATGTTAGGCTGTGTATATATACACACACACACACACACACACACACACACACACACACACACACACACATATATATATATATATATATATATATATATATATATATATATATATATATATAAACCATGGGTAAGTTATCCAAGTAGATCCTATTATTATAAAATATTAAAACTGACCCACAAAAGAGAGCTCAATATAATTTTTATTATAGAGCATATAAGTTAATTACATTTAATAAGATCCAAACGATTTACCTCATACAGATGATCATTTCGTCCATGGAAAAGTAGTTTTTCCCAGGACTTATCAGTGCAAATACATTTACTAAATGTATATTTATCAATGCAAATACATTTACTAAAATACATTACTAATATATATATATATACACACACACACACACACACATATATATATATATATATATATATATATATATATATATATATATATATATATATATGAAGATATTATTGATGGTACAAAACTTAATAACCGCCATAAATACATAAAATTTATTTTATCACCACTCATGATCGCGATTAACCCTAGAACACTAACCATCAATTAAAGATACACCACAACTAACCATGGGTATATCATACCCGATTTTGAAAATATCAAAAATAATATTAAATATAAATCTTTATTTGAAATATTTTACATGCAGGCACTTCAAACTTTGTACTTTGAGTTAACACTAATAGGAACTGAAAAGCATATTATTTAGGTAAGAAAATCAGGTACTGAAAATTGTAATTAAAAATAGGAAAATTTGTGCTGGGTACTATGGGTACCCATGATTAATGTTCTAGGGTTAAGTATCTTCACAGACCAGGGGCTGTAATGTGTAATGCCTATTTTTTTTTCGGATTCCCAATTATTCAATCCAGAAATCAGTGTTTTTCGTACAGTTCAAAGTTCACCTCCTATTTTGGGGGGTACGATTCTGTCGTTCCTCATTTATAGCTTTTCTCAACTCCAGGTGCATTCGTAATTCTTCACTATCTTTGTGTTCAGTCTATCATCCCCCCTAATACAACCCTGTCCACAACATGATATCTTCTGTTTTTCCTTATTCTGGTTTCAGGTGATGCCATTTATCTACAAGGCTGAAGCGTATGCACATTTCCCAGTATATTATTATTATTATTATTAATAATAATAATAATAATAATAATAGTAATAGTAATAGTAGTAGTAGTAATAATAGTAGTAGTAGTATACTTTTTGAGTTTCTACACGAGTAGGATTTTACTCGAGATCAAGTGGCAGCATAACTCCTTAATATCCCAGGATACCCCAAGAACCTTGTCAGCATTGTAGTGACGTTCTCTGGATTGTCGTGTTTCTTCTTCGGATTTCTAGCTTCTCTAACCTTTTGGCTGGATTTCTCGGGATCGTGCCCAGTGCTCTAAAAATAACTGGCACTACTGTCACTCTCCTGTTCCATAATTTCATTATTCTGAAGAAATCCAGGGGATTTATTCAGCTTCTGCTTTTCTTTTAGATTTTAATCTGTGATCCGCTGGGACATCGACATTTTCTTCTTTATTCCAGCATCTGGACTAGGTTGTTGTTGTTATTATTATTATTATTATCATTCTTCTTCTTCTTCTTATTATTATTATTATTATTATAAGCTCAAATCCAGAAAAAGTCAGCTTCTTTGAGACTTTTGAATTCTAACAGATCAAATCTAGCCACTAGACCAGATATTATCATCGTAAACAAAGAAAATAATGTCTGCCAAAAAATCAATAATGCAAGTGAAAAACAGTGGAAAGTTGCATAAACATCGCGAGCTTGCCAGAGAACTGAAAAAAAAGAAAAGAGAGAATAAAAAAGCCAAAAAAAAGTGAAAAAGAAGAAAAACACTGTAAAATGTCAAGGCAATAAGACAAAAGCTTGTAGCGTATGAAAGTTTCCATATAACAAAAGTCTTTGAGAATTTAAAAAAGCAAAGAAAAAAAAAAATCAGTGCAAACAAACCTAAAATAATCGAAATACTGAGTAGGGTGCTGGAGTATAGAGGAGACTTGCTGTCACTTGATCTCGATACTACTTGTAAAAAAATTTGCTACTATTACTACTACTACTAATAATAATAATAAGTAGAGGAAGAAGAAAAAAAGAGAAAGATGAATTCGATCCAAACTGACAGCCACTAGCGCCTTCTACTGTAAAAAATGGTAATAATAACAGCGACAGTTCCTGTAGGGCCGCCCGCTAACAATAAGCAAGTATGGCTGATCATGGAAATGGCTGTGTATGCGAACTACAGGTGAAAAAATAAATAAATCTAAAAATACCAGGACCTCGCCAGAGAGAACTGAATAAGACACAAACGTGAATTTTAATGTTTTGTACGAATGTGTAAAGAAAGAAGGAAAGTCTAGGGGAAAAAATGAAAGAGAAAACAAGAAAGAAAAAAAGAAAAAAAGAAAGAAAGAAAGAAGGAAAGAGAGAAAGAAAAAAGGAAAGAAGGAAAGAAAGAAAAAAGGAGATAAAAAAAAGAAAGAAAATAGAAGCAAGACAGATCAAGAAAAATAAAAGACTAAAAGGAAATTAAAAAGAAGAAAAAGAAAGGATGAAAAAAAGCAATAAAAGCGAGCAAGCAAGTAAAAGAAAGAAGCAAGGATACAGCCCGAATAAGTAAAAAGGAAGAAAGAAAAATGAGGAAGAAAGTAAGAAATAGCAAAATAAAAATAGAAGGAAAGAAAGAATTAAAATGCAAAGGAGAGCTGGAAAAAAAAGAAGAAAGAAAGACAAATGAAGAGAGACTAAAACAAAAGAAAAGAAAGAAAGAAAGAATCAAAGAATTGGTTGAGGAGATCGATGTGCGGGAGGAATATGTGTTAGAAGAAGAGATATTGTCAACACTAATACGGCCCAAGCAGTACATTCAGCGTGAAGCTAAAATTTGAAGGGATATATTAACATTTCGTCTCTGTGGTGACGAAACGAGAGTGGGGGAATTAACAGAAAGACCACATTGGTGAGAAAAAAAAGGGAGAGTCAAATAAAGATAAGAGAAGGAGAGAGGGTGATACAAAAACGTCTGTACTTTCAGAGTGAAAAATCAAGCAAATAAAAAAAAAAAAAAAAAGGAAGATTATTTAAAACAGAGCGGGAGAGAGAGAGAGAGAGAGAGAGAAAGCCTTCTTTTTAGACACGTTTTCTCTTATTTAAGAGAAAACGTGTCTAAAAAGAGAGAGAGAAAGAGAACGAATAAAATGATCGTAAAAAGAAAAGAAAGGCAAAAGAGGTAGACAGAAAAGGAAAGTGTCCCGTTGACCAATGAGAAATAGAGAGAGAAACAGTGAGAGAGAGAAAAGGAGTGAGTAAAAAAGAAGATTAGTCATGAAATGAGAAAAAGAAAAAGCCACATTTCAAATAAAAAACGAAAGAGGGATGGAGAGAAGGAAAACGTCTGTGATAAGAGAAAGAAAAAAGGTCACGTTGCACGTCAGACGATAGGGTAATATATTCATTATATATATATATATATATATATATATATATAATGGAAGCAAAGGAAATTAGAAAGTAATGGAGTACGTGGTAAAAAACCGAAAGACAAGGAAAGAAAAAGGATTAAAGGAGAGAAAGAGACAGACAGAGAGAGAATGAGAGAGAGAGAGAGAGAGAGAGAGAGAGAGAACAGAGACTAGACAGCCAGACAGACAGACAGACAGACAAAGGAAGTCAGACAGCGGACAGATTTAGCAAAGAGAATTGCATAATTTATCGTCCTAAGTATGTGTGTAAATACTGCGTTTCTCTTAATGTTATGAACTGATTTTGTGTGCGTATATGTATCGCTGCGCCGATAGGTGGATTTCGTGTGTATAAGAAAATGTTCCTCCGAACGCGCATGCGTGTATGAGCATAGTCACATATTTAACCAGGAACACATACACACTCACAAACACAGATATCTATATACACTTTATATATAAAGTGTCTGTATATATATATATATATATATATATATATACTGGATTGTTAAAAATTGTTCTTTAAAGTATAAATACATAAATGGATTGTTAAAAATTGATCTGAGGTCCATACAATTACAAGTGAAATTACACAGACATACACTCACACAGATATATATATATATATATGTGTGTGTGTGTGTGTGTGTGTGTGTGTTGGTTAAAATTATAACTATAGCTCAGTTTCGAAAATAGAGATTTCTTGAGTTGTGATCATTCAGTATATATATACAGTCACTCAACACATAGAGAGTGGAGGAGATAGATAGATAGATAGATAGATAGATAGATAGATAGATAGATAGATAGATAGATAGATAGATAGATCGGAATGGACTGAGATAGATAGATAGATAGATAGATAGATCGGAATGGACTGAGATAGATAGATAGATAGATAGATAGATAGATAGATAGATAGATAGATAGATAGATGCGAGCACACTGGGATAGATAGATAGATAGATAGATAGATAGATAGATAGATAGATAGATGTTGAGGAGAGGTTGTTGTTAACTGTGCCTTCATTTGATCAACATGCGTAACTCAATAGCAGCGGTGTATTTCTAATCGATTGAGGGCAATTTCCCTTTTTTCCCCCCATTGCTGCAGTCTTGTACCAGACATGTCTATACGACTAAGCTAAGTTTCATATACATGCAAACCGGCGCGCGCGTGTGTGTGTGTGTGTGTGTGTGTGTGTGTGTGTGTGTGTGTGTGTGTGTGTGCGAGCTCGTGTGTATGTCTGTGTGTGAGAGAAGGAGAGAGACATAGAAAGTGAATGACATGTGTCTGTACCTGTATGCGCATGTTTCTTGAAAGGTTAATACGTGCGTTTTTTTTTTTTGTTGTGTTTGGGGATTCTTGGATGTTTAACTAAATCTCTCTCTCTCTCTCTCTCTCTCTCTCTCTCTCTCTCTCTTTCCTACACACACATATATATGTATAATTATATATATATATATATATATATATATATATATATATGTGTGTGTGTGTGTGTGTGTGTTTTTATGTGCTTGTTTCAGTATCTCGGAAGATAGTAAAAGAAAGAGATAGACACGTTTTCTTAAAAATAAAATAAAGCTGCTTCATTGGCTCAGTATTTCTAAAAGACTATATATATATATATGAAGAAAAATATATACGAAAAAAAATACTTATATACAATTATGCTGTGAGTCTTTGTCATGTTGTATTGATAATGTTATATTTATGAATATGTCCTGAAGATGGTTTATTAGACCGAAACGTCCGACGTTGACATATTAACATTAAAACAGCATAATTGTATATAAGATTTTGTTTGTTTTTTTCCGTATATATTTTTTTCATACTGTCGGATCTATATCCATATATTTGCTTACATATATATATATATATATATATATATATATATATATATATATATATATATATATATTTTTTTTATTTTACTTAGCAGCGTAGTTAGGTCTGGCGGTCGAAGCTGTTGCATTAATTAATGTTGGGCAAAGCATGGATCCACGCCCTGATATGAATAAAATAGTAGGGTGTGTGCTCTTTAGCCTTAACAGGGTGATCAATATATTTGAAAAAAAAACTGAATGTAAAAAAGTGCAGCAAAGCAACGTGAAACCACTCCACAATCTATCATTGGTAACCATGAATATTTACAGATAAAAAAGGAAGCTGTGAAAAGCAATTAACATCTTTAAGTGACATGGTATTTAAAAAAAAAAAAATTAAAAAAAAAAAAAAGATGACTTTTTATGGGCTTCATTTTCCCTTAACAGATTTTTTCTTGATTTTTCAAAGTAGAAATGACTTTTCTTTTCAATTTGAAGAAACTTCAAAATTTCAAAAAAAATTAAAAGTCGTACAAGTTGATAACAGTTTGGAGTTTTTTGAATGGTAGCTAAGAGACTTTGTGGTAGTAAGAATTCATAATATTTACGAGTTAATTCTCTAAGGTTTTTAGTTCATTTTCATTGAGTTTGATGATGTGAGATGAAAATATTTTAAACAGACTTTTCAGATATAAGAACATTATAAAAAAAATTAATTGTTGAGTTAGATAATCTAATGACGATGTTGTCACTAAGATAAGCTCTTCTGAGAAATAATCATTAAAAAGAACCTGTTTCAGGTTTCCATATATATATATATATATATATATATATATATATATAT